TTTTTGTACTAAGTCTTCATCGCTGGAGAAGATGATTGACTCTGGAACCCAAAATCTGCCGACGCTGGCCGTCAGAAATAGAAATAAAGTATGCGCAAAATCACAGTTACCGTTTAAATCAAGAAATATCACCGTAAATGCGTTAACCAGACCGAGGCACTTTGCCACGGTACAACGTTATACGAGTGAGCGGTAGGCCTTTTTTTCAACTCAATCAGACAATGCGAAATAACATTTTTTACTCCCCTTACTCTCATTTATTTAGAAAAAGATTAACCCTGGGGTTATGATGTCGATATTTGCTTCCGGCGGCGTCCTACATACATGTTCACTCTCCTTCCTCAATCCGTTTCCTGTTTCTTCAAAAACAACCGGCAAGTCGAAATTAAGGTCGCTCACTTATACGTTTTTTTACACAGACAAGCTTTCAATAGCCTGGCTAATAGTTTAGCAGTAGATTCTGGCTTGATCCATCGTGTGCCAACAGAAAGGCGGACGGAGGAACAGTAAATGGCACTCCGATTCGCTTGTCTTTATGGTGGACTTGTGAAGCATCTACTTCCCTTTTTCCTGCTTATGACAGAACCAAGCAGAATGGAGGTGGTATCGAGCGCAGGTGCTTGGCGCCACGTGAGATTGTGCCTGGATGTTGCCGCACACTCTCGTTCATGTGATGCATTTACTCCAGGTTCGCATTCCCTATAAAGCCTCCTATGGCTGGACCTCGCCCGAACAATGTTCCAACGCAGCTTACGCGTGGTCAGTTCTAGAGCTCAAAACACCTGAGTAATGCCGGCCTGTCTCCATTTAAGTAACGGCAGTCTCCGTGCGATTTCGGGTGAGGACACTCAAAGCCTCACGACAAGACTGGAGGGGAAATCTTTTAGATTGCTATTGTCAAGACCTCAAACATTTTGAGGGCAGAACAATACACAGAAAACCTTTGGACAGAATGCCCCTGGGTTTTGTTCTTCCTGAGCTTAATCCGCGACTTCCAACTAAACTGAGACCTAAACACATAAACTCATCAGAACTTTCAGTACAAACCCATTTCAGGAGTCGTACCATATGTTGCTTCTGGAGAAGAGGGTATGCAAACACATGTAGACATGTCTAGATAAATTTGAAAGGACGTTTTTAGGTTGTCTACCTGGCACCTATGAAATACCCATAGAACCCCACGCCAAAGGTTGCTAGCGACAGCCGGGACGGTGACTCAGATATTAGCAACTCCGGTGATTTGTTATCTGGTGTTGGCAGGGACAGATTGTTCTTCCTGACCGCGTCCAATTGGTGAGAGCACACCGTCCCAGCACCATCACAACCGCCATTTTCAATCAACGTGTATGACATATAGATAGCGCTCGCATTCTACCCCAACCTCATCCTACTTGCTCCGGCCGACTCTGACTCACACTCGGCGTGGGAAGGAAGACTGTCCATAGCGCAAACAAACATGCTCCGATTAAAAATAGTAGCTTGATAATGAATTATCAGAAACGGGGCCGACTGTTGGCGCCCAGCTACCATTGTTAATATTTTCGACGTAAACCGGTAGGAAAGTGAGCTTTTCCCATTGCAGTTAGCGGATTTACCTTCTAGTTTGCAAGGTGGCGCGTACAGTCCTCGAGTGCGATACCACTTAGGGTTGGATATGACTTGTTGATAACGGCCGGTAAGTCCGAAAGCGCCATTTTAAACTTCTTTGTCTTTGTTAATAATGCGTTTCTGTATTTTGATGATATTCGTTGAGTGGTTACTGGTGGGACTCGAGAGCTGGCCCCAAAGCCTCAAAGGGTCGAGCGAGGTCCCCAATCGAGCGGCGAGCGTCTATCTATCCTAAGTAAGAACGTGTAGGCCAATTAACTTGCCAGTGATAATTTTGTCATACGGTGTGGTGGACATAAGCGTAATAGCACTTACGGATTCATTAATTAAGTTAACTTGGCTTTTGTTAAAGAAAACATTTTATATTGGTCCACAAGCCACCCTAGATTAGGATAGCTTAAAGGCAAGAGCTGCTTTCCTGTACTCCGGTGTATGTCATAAATAGCCACAAACAGGATTTTCATGTCTGGATGATCAAGTCCATTTGCTGTTTATTCCGGTTCCAAATATCATCAACCTAATATGGCATGATAATAACTGTGAAAATTTCAGAGTGAATGATTAACGTAATCTCACATTCGCTTGATGCTATCAAACAAACACACCTACGTGTCGTGTCGTTTTCTTTCATGAAACCTATTTCATAAGAACTGCTATATCCTTTTATCCAAAAATTATAGGCGTGTTGAGAACGAAAATTTTGAATAATTTCTGTGGTTTGCTTAATGGACCATATTGAAGCATGCCTCCTAAGAAGCTAGTCAAGATTTTATCATTCAGATTTTCCTAAGTGTGTTTTCACACCAGTTGAGTACCAAAAACACATCGGAAAATTAAAATTGATCAGACGATATGTAGCACAAGTTATAAATTGTACAAAAAACATTCATGTATTAGTTCTAAATAAATGCTCATGCACAATGCGCTTTGGACGTATTGGTTAAGTCTTCGGGAACGGCGCCTTGAGTCAGTGTGTAGAATTTGACTGCCTGATTCTGCACCATTAGCTTTACAACAAAGAAACCGGTCGTTGTTTCTAAGATCACAAATGTAGCTTCCACAGCGTGAATAGTTCGTTCGAATGAAGATAATATCAATCCTGTGTCTAGTAGAAGATAGAAAATTCCAGGTAATTGGATCAGCAGCGATAGTAACCAAAAACCCGCAAGTTCGGGTACCTATATGATTTTGGGTTTTGCAAATTCAATCTTACCTTTTCCGCTAAATTACCAATAAACCCCAGATACAGCCTTGTTATTTCGGTAAATATATAGGTCAGAAACACTGCGATTCCAACAACTTTGCGAATCTGGCTCAAAAATTCGAACTAAAGAAGGAATTAGAAAGAATTCCAATCTACTTCGATGATAAAACAGATCATTGTCCCAATAAACCAGAATGGCGCGTAGAAAGCATTAAAATAAAGCATCATTTGGGGCGGGAGATTACTTGTGTAAGCAAATCCTAAAGCATTCGATGAAAACTATTGAATACCAAATTTTTGTTTGAGTCTCAAGGTTTCAAGTTCAGAATTTGTAACAGGAAAAACATATGCCGTCACTCGATTAACCGCTTGCTTCAGGCCTGTAGACATGATTTGGCATTTGACGTTTGATTATGTATTTCCGTGTAATGAAACCATGGTAAACACATGTATTGAAACGGCGCCGCAGTTTAATCTGGGATTCACGATAAGCAAGGACCGCCATTGGGACGAGTAATTGATGTGGTTCTGTTGTGCTTCAGGTAGTGCCAACACCGCGAAGACGGACGCAGTTGAAATTATGCCGTATCACCCTTAGACTTTCACATTTCATTCAGTATCATTGTTGTTAGTCTCCCTCCCCCGTTCTACGTTATGGTGTTATATCTGTATCCTTACCCTTATTAAGTTTTTGGAGTGTTGTATGTATCAAGTAACTGGATGGAGACTGTGTGTGCTCCAAGCGAATG